GGCACTGGAAGTACGCCTAAACACTATGATGGGCCAATCCCGCGGTTATTATTATAAACTGATAATTTGTCCTTTAATCAAATAAAAACAACGCATGTTTTTAACTTTTATATTTTAGAATCATTTGTCATTCAACTTTCGTTCACACTTCAGTGCATATGAAGAGCAGTTGTGTTCCCCAGCGACAAGAGTTGTCTTGCTAAAGACACATAAGACAGGCGGCTCGACGATTGCATCCATTCTTGGACGGTATGCCTACACACGACACCTCAAATTGCCCAGATTCAAATCTACTAACAATAATCGCCCATTTTATCGACAGATGCTGGAAGGACAGCCAAATCTAAAGATGCTTGTTAGTCATACACTTTACAATAGACCTGAAATGGATTTTGTGTTTGGAGACGCAAAGTACGTGACCATAATACGAGAACCGACTGCACAATTTGAGTCGGCATTTTTCTTTTTCAAAATGCCACAAGAGCTGCATCTTGAACAATTTGAAAATCCGATTGAAGAATTTATGCGGAGTCCGGAGAAATACAAGAACACAAAAGGATTTATACAACACAAGAAATCATTAAACGATCAATTTCGTGTTCTCGGATTACCGGAATCAAAATTTTCAGATGAATGGTTTATTCGTTATAAATTAAAACAACTTGAATTTGAAATTGATTTAGTGATGATAAATGAATACTTTGATGAATCTTTGATCCTACTGAAGAAAACACTATGCTGGCAGTTTGATGATATCTTGTATTTATCGAAGAAAGTCAGATCCAAGTCTAATCAAGCAGTATTAACCTCAACACTCAAAGAAAAAATTCGATCTTGGAATAGTGCAGACGTCCTGTTGTATGAACATTTCAACCAAACATTTTGGCGCCGAATTTCTGAATACGGGAATACATTTTTTGACGACCTGAACAAATTCAGAAAGATGAAAGTAGCTTCAAATGAAAAGTGTGTGGGCAGTTTTTTTAACAGGTCAATGGATGGTCGTCCCGATGTAAAACTCGTAAAGGTGAAAGAGAACTTATCAGAAAAAGATAAACAAACTTGCATAGGTCTTAATAAAGATGCTAATGATTTTATGAGGATTATGGATTAAAAAAAATTGTCGAAATTTTATAAGCTTATGTGATATTTTCTTTATTGTTGTGGTTTTAATACACAAATCCGTTACCGAGAGTTCCTTTTCTACAAGTTGGAAAATTCGAGTTGCGAGTTGGAAGTATGCGAGTTGGAAAATGCGAGTTGAAAATGCGAGTTGTTAGTTGAAAATGCGAGCTGCGAGTTAGAAAATGTTATGGACTTATTGGCCAGGCTAATGAAATGTAAGCTATTAGAATTATTTGGAAAAGAGACCATTCTAATCAATGATAATGTCCAAATGATAATGTCCAAATATATAATAAATATGCTGTAAATTATATTAGTAGGCCAACTGTAAAGTATATAATGTATGGAAAAAATTAATTCTCAGAAGTAGAAGAGGTGTGGTTGAGATGTATCATCCACAATTAATTAGATAAATAAATAAGTTGCAACTTTCAATTTACAGTCGATTGTTATCTTTTTTTTTTGCCTTACTCTTTTTGTGTATAGGCTACATTAGTGTAGTTTCTACCTGACTGTTTTAATAATTTCCTGCTCGAAACTGAACGTTATATAGTTCTGTATTATACTGTCATTACCGTACCGTTTCTGTTTATAGTTTTGGCCTACACCATTTTTTGTGGCGTACTATGAAGCTGGGGGCTTTCTGAGACGGGAGGATCTTTTGGTCTACAGCATTTTGGTTTTAAATGTATACCGTATATATACATATTATATACATATACATATATATGTATATGTATATATGTATATATATATAGGCCTATATAGAACCAGTGTTCAAATAAAGGAATGGGAATGATAATGTAAATATATTTTCATGTGTCTTGTCGTTCGAAGGCCCAAATGGAATGCATTGTTTACACTGATAGGGTTTTTAAATACGTTGAAGATTATAAATGATAATAGAACGAGGATACCAAAAAGGTAAGGCATTTCGTGATGCATCTGTTGAAAGTCTTTAACTTTTTTTTTTAGATTTCATTGCCATCGAGTTTAGACTTCAATCAATGTGGGAAACAACAAACGTGTTCCCCAGCTACACGAATTGTCTTCTTAAAGACGCACAAAACAGGCAGCTCGACAATTTCATCTATTCTGACGGTATGCATACACAAGGAACGTTAAAATGCCCATATTCGGAACTGTAAACCCTGAGGCTCCATTTAGTCGACAAATGGTGAAAGGCCAAACAAATCTAAAGATTCTTGCCAGTCATTCTTTGTACAATAGACCTGAAATGGATGCCGTCTTTGGAGACGCACTGTACGTGACAATATTACGAGAACCGGCTGCCCAATTTGAGTCGGCATTTGCGTTTTTCAATATGGCAAAAGATCTACATCTTGAACAAGCTGAAAGTCCGATTGGAACATTTATGCGCAACCCAAAAAGATACATGGGTATGCAAGGATTTAGGTATTCAGAGAGAGCATTAAATGATCAATTTCGTGTTCTTGGATTACCTTCATCAGCTTTTTTAGATGAATCGCTCATTCGATATAAATTTAAACAACTTGAAGTTCAATTTGACTTAGTGATGATCAATGAATATTTTGACGAATCTTTGATTCTACTAAAGAACATATTTTGCTGGCAATTTGATGATATGTTGTATTTATCGAAGAATGTCAGAAC